GCCCCGGCCGCGCGTGAGGAGGGCCCGGCCGGGCGCCCGGGACTCCGGCCCCGAGGGTCCTTCCGCGGGGCCGCAGACCAAGGGCCCCCCGTCGTGTTGCAGCTCCTTCCTCGCTCATGTAACCTCCTCGTGTTCTGTATGAAGAGCATGTCAAATGCGCATTTTGGTTTTTCTTTCCATTTATGGCAATAGAATCTTCCCTGTAGCCATGTGTCTGGAATATCTGATGTGGGTGTTCACCTGCTCTGTGAGCTTGCGGGACCCCCACAATATGAGGCTGTGCCTCCCCCTTCCCGGTCCCCAATCCGGGAACACAGGGCGTGCACGGCCCGGGCAGACTGGCCACCTACCAGACCCGGTCAGCCTGCAACCTGCTCCTCCTTCCTCTTGAGCCGGTCTGTCCTCACATCCACTCACCCTCGGGGGAAACTGATTTGACAGGGAAATCTCCACTGCCCCTGAGACTGGGATAAGCCTTTCTTTTGGAGAAACCAGAATCTGCAGGGCCTTTTATTTTACAATCGTATAAGGGACAAGAGGTAAAGAGGAAGTGCCTCTTGTAGTCACTGCTGCCTTCTCAGCCGGTTATACGTGGGCTGGGACATGAGGGCCCCTGAACCAATCTTCGCATAAATAAGTTAATAGATAGGACAATGTTCTTACTGGAAAGAAGTTTTGCAGTAAAAGTTAGGGACTAAAATCCATATGTTAAGGTGGATGTCAATAACTCATCCGATTACCCCACTGAGCTTGAGCCCAGTGGATTTTTAATTGTCTTCTCAAAAATGCATCTGTGTGTTGGATGCTTTATTGATGTAGATACCAGATGTGTGTGTGTGTGTGTGAGAGAGAGAGAGAGAGATTGTGTGTATCATAATCCTGGTGATCACATGGTATTGTTTTAACTTTTTAATTTAATTTAGGATCATCATAATCATGGAGTCAGTTCATGGATGCTGGACCAGTGAGCTGAAGGAGCGTCTGTATCTTTCAGCTCTGTCCCCATGCATGCCCCAGATGACCAGTTTACAATGTCTATTTATGTGATAGAGAAATCCATTTCCATCTTGAGTATTGTTCTGCATTTTTCATGACAGGCAACCAAACTTAATCCTAGTTGACAAAAGATAGACAGGAAACAGAAAGTACATCTGTCATTACAACAGATAGAACTAGATAGGAATGCACTAAACATCCATGTTATAGGCGGACTCTTAGACTGGACTGAAAAATATTACAGCTATGTGGTCCTTAAAACCCAGACCTAAAATATCAGGACACTGGAAAGATGAAAGTAATAATTATTTCAATGAATAAAATTAATAATTTTACAGGAAAAAGGGAAAGAGTCCAAATGCCTGATGTTTGGTTGGTGTTGTTTTGTCATAATCAGAAACAGAAAATTCAAGAAAACGGGCTTGACTGGGTGAAATAATAATGAGTTCAATTAGGAGGTCTTAAAATGTAAACTAACAACTAGGTAGTTAATGTAATTGAGTGAATAGACTGAACTAAAGAAGAGAGGTAAGTTGTGTCTATGCTGTAGTGCAGTGCTTCTCAAACTTGAGTTTGGCTCAAAATCACCCAACAGACTCGAAACACAGATTGCTGGGCCCTGTCTCCAAAGATTCTGATTTACTGGTGTGAGTTCGCATTTCTAGAACTTTTCCAGTAATGTGGATGTCACTCCAACTTTAAGCACCAGGAAGAAACAGAGCCAGAGCCGCTTCAGTGGTTCTGACAGCTGACCACACATTAGAGTTACTGGAGGAACTTTCCATGCATGCCAGTATCTGGGCTCAGACCACTGTTAGTGAATCAGAATGTTTGTTTTATTCTCTTTTCTTTTGTTTTGAATTCCCTGGGTGATTTCAGTGAACAGGCTGGACAAAACACCCTTTGGGTTTTCTGCTGTTTAAGTTAAAATCTGGACTTTTATGTAAATGTTTCTATTTTTTTCTCATATTACATGGTCCACCTAAAACAAATATGCAGGTTCTCAATTTTCAAACCCAGAGCTTCCTGATCAGACGTGACATGTAGCTCAGGTACCCAACAAGCAGCTAGAATGTAAAGCCAGAGCCTGGAAGATCAATTTGGATTGTGCTTATGAGATCTGGGTACATCTGTGTAACTTCAAAACGTGGGGAAAAATCCAAGCAAGTAAATGCAAACCAAGTTTGATATCATCCAGCTAAAATGATCATTTAAAAAAAACTGATAGCTTTCATAAATATCATTACTATTGCATCTTATTTTTGCAATAGAATGACTATCCACTTACATTACAACTGAAACTGGAAGGTTTCCAAGATGACAAGCAACTGAGAAGTTTTTATTCCAAGATGCAGATGGGGGTGGAGGGGAAGCTTTCTGTTATTTGAACGTGAATATTTAGATACTAACAATAAACCAGAAGAAGTTACAAAGTGCGTGACCAGTGACAGCATGTACTGTTTGGCAAACTTGAACTCCTGCTTACACTGATTAGTGTATTTAGTGCCCATGACCAGTGTAAAAAATTACCACAAACTTGGTGGTTTAACCCAGTACACATTTACTCTCTTCCAATTCTAAAGGCAGGAGGGCTGAAATCAGTTTCACTGATCAGTATCTGAGGGCTGGGCAAAGCCAGCTCCCTCCAGAGGCCCTGGGGGAGGACCCATTTCCTTGTGTTTTCCAGCTTCTGGAGCAGCGTTCCTTGCATTCCTTGGCTCCTAGCCCCTGAGTTGTCAAAGCTAGCAGCGTCAGTGGTCATCCTGCCTTCTGCTTCTGTGTTCTAATCTCTTTTGTCTCCCTCTTATAAGGATACCTATGACTGCATTAGGGCCCACCCTGATCATCCAAAATAGTCTCAGGATCCTTAACTAAATCACATATGCAAACTTTCCTTTGCCATATAAGGTAACATTCATAGGTTCCAGAGATATTTTGGGGGTCATTATTCAGCCTGGGAAAGTTATGTAAAATATAACCAAGTAAATTATGAGACTTTTTTATTTATCATGCATAAATTCAAAATGCCAGAAATGCCACTGTAGTCAAAATTCAGCCATTCAGCTTTCCAAATGCTGAGGCCGAGGTCAAGGCAAATTGCAGATTTTGGCCAAATATTGAGTGAAACACAATTTCTTAGCATCCCTACACACAGCACACAGGTTTATACCCTGTTTCTTTTTTCTTTTTCTTTTTTGTTAATTTACAATATATCACAAAAGTTCATCAGGTCCTTCCTCAAGTATTTGTTTACTTTTTTTGCATGCCCATGATTTATCTTTTTCTTTATTTTATACATAATATTATGTTAAAGATACCTGTCTCTAATTTACACATATTTGATTGTTTCCTTGAAGTAAATTTCTGGAAGTAGAATAACCAGATCAAGGGTTGAATATTTTTGATATTCTGATACAATCTGCCAAGTGCTATTCAACTCTGAGAAGAGTCCTTTCTCTGCAGCCTTACATGTGCTGGGATTGGGATTTAAAAGTGTCCCTCAACTATTAAAAATGCTAACTTCTTGCTGTGTGTTTTGCATTTATCATTTACATTTATTGGAGTAAACTGGGGTGGGGAGCATTACCTGAGAAATTTTCTTTACCTATAACCACCATTTAACTCATTTGCCAGATTAACGTGCACCTCTGAATTTCCTTTGTAAAAATATTCTGACTGTGTAATTCACTTACAAATTCCAAATCAGGGAAAAAAGACTGTGTGGCATTAGGAGTTAAGACACTAGTCTTTTGAGGTGAGGACGAAGAGGACAGTGACAGAGAGGATGCACAAAGCCAGGGCTGCGAGGCTCTGATATTGTTACTATTCTTGGACCCCAGTGGTGGTTATTTTGTTTTGTTCCTTTTGTGACTATTTACTGAGATGTACACTTATGATTTTTGCAGTTTTCTCTATATGATATATTTGACTTAAAAATTTAATAAGAAAGAAAAAAGGAAAAAAATCTTATGACCCTCATGTCTACATAACGTTCAGTTTTGGGCACAGTCTTCCCTGCTTTGCTCCAAAATCTGATCATTCATGTGAACCTAGGATTTCAATGGCACGATTGAATTAAATGTTAAGTTGTTGCTTTATTTGGAGGAAAGGGAAAGTGATTTCTATGAAAACTAAACTGAGTGTTATACAAATGCTCAGTCTCATCAAGTTATTTAACACACTGGCTATACAATCTGTGCTTAAGACAATTTTTTTTTAAAATGAGAACATTCATAAAAATCTCAAAGAAGTTTACATTCAGACTGCCTCAAAGATGTCTTAATGTCTTTAACTTTTTTTTGCACTTTAAGGAAACAAAAACAATGTGAACACAATTTGCGCAAGGTTATTTCAAACTTTAGCAGCAGGCCCAGTTCGAAGAAATGGTTTTGGCCCATGAAGTTTGGCAAAAACCTATTTAAACTAAAAAAATTGTCTTATTGAGGCTTTAATCTACTGTTTCTTTTAGTGACACTACTACTTAGTGTTGATTGTTACCAGATAGGAGGGGCATCTGCCCTTTCTTGGTAACACAAGACAAAGAGATATGTGAGGAGCAGGAGAAATCAGAAGTAAAGAAATTTTGCTAATTGGAGAAGACTGGCAGAGGAACAGAAATTGGCTAATAAACACCTATGTTCAAGTACTCAAATGCTCCTTCTCTCTTCATTTTTTAACACCAAGTTGCCAACCAAGCATAGAGTCTCTTATCACATACATACAAGATCCACTTTTTCCAAATTATTAAAACTGAAATAGGTATAAGAGCCACTGCTGAAATTGCAGTGATCAAATGCAAAGGGATATATCCATTGCTGGGTTAACCAACCAGCAGGCTCACCCAGTCGTGCTGAAGGCAACACTGAAGAGTTGGGGATGGTGGATGGTGTTGAGCAAAAGAAGTTTGGCTCAACAAATCTATCCGGAATTTTGAAGTCAGAAAATATGAAAAGAAGCTATTTTGTATTTCACTGTCATCAGTGACCATCTGATAATTGTAACTGCTTAACTGTTCAAAAGTTTAAATGGCTTTTCTCTTGCTTTTGCCCATCAGGGTTGGGCTGGATGAGGGGCTGGTTGGGTGGTCTGCCCAACCCCCTCATGGTGCTGCACATGAGAGATCATGTGCAGTGCCATGCCTTTGCCCCCGACACCTCAGAAGTGGCAGCTGGGCTTCTGTTTTCTGTATCTAACAAGATAACTCGGCCCAACTGTGTAAGTATGCATTTGTTTTTAGTGCCTTGTGGTTTCTTCGTATTTTGTTGCTTGTCATGCAGGTCCTGGCCTGGGCGGGTGCTGCAGCAAGAGGTTCTAGATCTCAGCCTGCCTCAGTGCTAGAAACATGTATCAACCTGGCTTTAAATAGGACACTTTTTGTTTGTTTGTTTTTGTTAGTTTTTGTTTTTTTTAGCAGTGGTCCTGGGATTGAATCCAGGACTTCATGCATGCTAAGCATGTACTCTACCACTGAGCTATACTCTCCCCCAACAAGTTTTTCTTTGGAGCACTTTTCCACAGACCCCCTTCCTAAACACCCTTTGTTCTAGACACAAGAATATTAGGAAATTCCCAAAGCTGAAGATAAACAACAAACCCAGCAGAAGGAAGGGGGCCCTTGCATCTGCAAAAACAAGAACATTGCAGCCATTTGCTGATGTCTATGGAAACCAGTGCTGCCCACTGAACTCTTACTATAAAACCCTTTACCTTCTCTCCAGGGGGGCTCACAGTCTCGGAGGCATTAGCCTGCTGGGACCTCCTTTGCTTGGCAAAGAACTAAAGCTGCCTTTCCTACTTCATCCAAAACTCTGTCTTTGAGTCTTAATTTGGTAATCGGTACGGAGGCCGAGTTCTGGCAACATCACCGTAAAGTTAAGTTTGCTAAAAGTGAATGGTTTTTATTTCACTTACTCACATGGGTGGGAGAAGGTTAGGCCCTGCCAGCTCTTCAGTGATGGAGGATTAGAGTTCTGGAGAGAGTCCCAGTAAAATGAGACAGCAGCTTCAGCAATGGTTGAAGACTTGGTCTATACGATTCCTGGTACAGTAACGGCATTCACAAAGGGCTGGAAGAAGTCAGATTCAAGAGAAAAAGAAATTATGATCCTTTCTGCCCCTCACTGCTGTGTGTGTGCGCACGTGAGTATGTGTGTAATTTAGCTTGTATTACATATCCTTCATCTATTACTCCCAAGTTCAAGTTCTAGCCCCTACTCTGCTGCAAAATCCTGGCATGTTACACACACACACACACACACACACACACACACACACGTTTGGCTCCAGGCTTGAAGTGAGCCTTCTAGGCCTCTGTGCTCTCACCAAAGCCATTTACCCTTTGGAAGGGAGGGAAGTGATTTCCTAGGCCTTTAACCCATGGAGCTGTTAGGGGAGAGAGGTTCTTTTCTTGTCACAGAAAGAATTCAGAGACAAGACAGCGGAGGTTAAGAAAGCAAAGCAAGGATTTATTATGGGATGGGTAGTACGCTCTCAAGTAAAGAGCAGGCAGACCCAGGCGGGTGGCTGCTCCAAGTTTCCTTGGCAAGTTTGTTACATGAGTGTACAAATGAATGGACAAAATATTCATTGGTGGGAGGGGTTGGGGGTCGTCTTTCCTGATCTCCATCCCAGCTCCACCTTCTCAGGTTGGGGCGGGGGGAGGGATTTTTCATCCTTATTTAGTCTTGATCGGGAAGTTGGATCAGGTCATAATGAATAAGAGGTTACATCGGATGGGGGTACCATAAGCAAAAGGTTACATTTGGACGGAAGTCATAATGACTGAAAGGTTACATTCGGATGGTGGGGATTCCTGTCCTGTCCCACCCTTCTGCCTCCAGGACACTTATCAACCCAGAAGATATGGTTTTTTAATCAGCCCAGAGGATCCTGTTTTTCTTGGTCTGTCCAAGGACTCCTGTTCACAGCATGTATGGTTTTCTGTCATTTGTCCATGTCCCCCTTTCTCTGATCATATCTAGCTACCTGCCTGCTCTAACACAACCACTCCCAAGAATATATTATTCTAGAGGCAGGATGATGCTTATTCCAGGCCCTGTGCTTTCCGACAGAAAAGGTCTGCCTTTCAAGTAAGACTAGGGTTGCAGAGTTCCCAATACACCAATCACAATGCTTTACTCATAGAGGATACTTGGTAAATATTTGTTAAAATTAAATGCGCAGGCGTGCTAACCTGTTTCCAAAGTTGCTCCTTTTACCTACTACATTCAGTAATGCCTGGCATAAAGGCACCTCTTCTTATATAATCACTCAATAGAGTGTAACAAAGGGTGAGCACAGAAACAGTGAGGTAACACACCAAGCACGCTATGAAGCCTTGAGCTTCCCTCCCTGGACATCAAATAAACCAGACTTTTTTTTTTAAGTGAAAGCAAGTTTATTCAGGGAGATACACACTCCACAGAGTGCGGTCCGTCTCACTCAGAAGGGAGAGCTGCTCAGAAGATACACATTCCACAAGCAGAATGCGGGCCATCTCAAGAGGTGAGAGGGAGAGAGACCAAGAGGTGCAGGGTTTTTAGTAAAACTTTAGATACACACTCCATAGAGTGCGGGCTGTCTCAGAAGGCAAGAGAGAGAGTGATAAGGAGGTGCGGTGTTGTTCGTTTTTATGGGCTTGGAAGTTTCATATACATAAGCCAGGGTTTGAATCCACAAACAACTGCAAAGCTGGGAGCATTAGAAAGCAGCACAACACAGCTGGCTGGGCCTGGCCGGAGCCTCGCTCTGCAAGTTATGTAACCGCGGTTGCGTAATTGTGCATTTAACTCAAAAGACATTTTTAAAAGAGAAAACAATTAGATTTTTCCAAAAAGAATGAAATTGAGAGCAAGAAAGAGGGAAAGAGAGAGAGATGGTGAAATAACACAGAAGTTTCTATCTGGCATTCAGGCAGGAGGCTCAGGGGACTCAAGGACTCTGGAAGTAACTGTCTTAAAATCTAGGGGCCTGGCCTGCCTCCTGTTTTTGAAAATAAAATTGTATTGCAGACCACCTACACCCATTCACCTATCGACTGTAGTTTCTTTCAAGCAGAGCTGAGTAAATTACAACAGAAACCATCTAGCCTAGAAAGCAGAAAATGTTATGTATCTCTTTACAGAAAAGGTTTGCCGACTCCCATCTTAGATAAACAAAAGGCTACACTTACTCGTCTGGGAGGGTGGTGCCTCCCTGAGAGACGTAAAAGAGGCAGTTCTCAGACCCACCAGGGAATTCTCGAACGAAGAGCAGGGCAGTGAGAGTGCACGAGAGTCAGAGCCAGGGTTTGGGAGTCGACTGGTCGGAGAGGGAATTTTGTCTTGCCCTTATGTTAGACCTGTGACCATAAGCAAGCTACTTTCTCTGTCTCTGTAAAATGGGGAACCAGGTGAGGCTGGAAAGAGAAAGTAAGGTTCCTGCACCTGATTTGGAGTTAACTCTTCCCTCAGCCTTAGCTTTATTTGGAGTTAAATCTGGTATTTGGGGGAGCTTGCAATTTTCAATGGAAAATACATACATATTTTTAATCTTAGTAATCAGTTAAGAGCATCCAAAGGTTTCCATCTTGTTCTGACCATAACTTTGGCTGGAGCTCCAGTAAAATAAACTATTGTGCTTAAAACGGGAGTCGTACAGTTAAGAATTGTCCGTTTTGAGTGTTCCCAACTTGAAACATTAACTGCATTTTAAGAACTTGAATTACTTGGGAGTCCTGTTTAAATTCACTCTTTGTACAATTGCCTGTATCAAGGATTGATAAGTACGGTCAACTTTCAAAACCAGAGGTTACTATCACTTTAAATGAGTTTTAACAGATGATACTGCCCTGTTGCCATTGTGGTGACAGTGTGTGACAGTGTGGTCTGAGTTCCCTAAAAACTCTGCTGACTTTTCTGTTTCCACTTATAAAAGGGAGATAATTCAGAGCTCCTGAAAAATCCTAATAGGTCTACGTTCCAAGCACTGAAAATTCATTTGATGGGTATGATTTTTTAAAGCTGACTTTGAACCTTTCTTCCACAAACAGCACCCTGCTTTTCTGGGACATGGACTGATTTGCTGACAGCACTGTCCTGAAGTCACCTGGCCTGGGTCCTCTCCTCACCAGCTTCTGCTGAGAACAAGTGCCCTTTGAGATTCTTTTTCAATCCTCAAATTCTCTGATTCCAAGACTGTCAGAGAATGGAAAATTTCAGTAGCATAAAAAGCATGAAAAGACAAAAAAAAAAAAAGATTAACTGGCCTCAGTGGCCAGAGCAGCTGTGTTTTGTATCCGTATCACAGGTTTCGTATTGTAAATTAATTCATCTGCAAATTGAAGCTGTCTCCAGATGTAGCTTCAATACTGGATTCTTAAGGGTTTAAGTTTAAAATCAAGGGCTTTCTGCCCTAAGTGCTACGAGTAAGTAGTGCTGTTTTCTTTCTGCTCCTAGTTTGCCCGTCCAATCATATCCCAGTATGCAAATAAACCTTAGCCCGTGCAGATAAAGAGGAACAAATAAAGCCAAGTGCTCTATCAGAACCAAATCGCTGAGCCTGCCACCGGTGTTCCAGAAGCCTGACCAGAACTGTCCTCAAACATGCAGGAGGTGCCTACCCCACTCACCAATTTGAAGGTTCAATATACTAAGGTTAGTACAATTTACATTTGCTGCTTTGCCTCAGGTTATGTAAACTCGTGTATTGAGCCCTTTGCAAATACAAAAATAAAAGGCTTGCAAAATGCAGGTCTAGGTTTAGTGTCTTCAGTGAATAATGAATTCTAAATCGTATCAGGCAACTTTTCATAAATTTACTTCTTAAAACATTTCTAAGTGAAAGGAATTCTCTTTGGTGTAAAAGGTCCTGTGCCAGGATTGAGTGGACTTTACTAAGCAGTTCTGTTAACCTTCAGCAGGGCCCAGCATGTATGATAAGAGAGGCAAATAATTACTATAGAAACTTGCTGGCAATAAAGAGACAAATGGGAAATGATTTTTAAAAAGAAAAAAAGAGAGAGAGAAACAGAGCATACTGAAGTGAAACAGAGCATACTGAAGGACCACTGATTTTTCCATATGTTAAACAAGTGTCCGAATTGAAGGACCTGAGTCTGGTAACTGGATAAAGGAAGAAAACTCCAGTTACGAAAAACTGCATTGGATTTGCATTATTTAGCATATTTGGCGAAAGAAAGCATTCTTATTCATTTCTGCAGCCAAATTCGTTGCCATTGGAGCCAATGCGTCATTGTTAACTTATAAACACTTAGAGAAACAAGAGCAGGAGCCAGACCCAGACTTAAAAACCCACAGCTCCCTCAGAGGAGGAAATGGATCCATTTTGAGTCGATCAAGAGTATCTCCAAACTTTGACAGTTTCACTCTGTTACGTTCCTGCTTTCTAGTCAAAGCCTAGAATTCCCCGCAAAACGAATGAAACAACCAAAACCAGTCTGACCCGGATCACTTAAAAAGCGAGCTTTATGGTGTGAGGCAGAAAGGAGGATAAGAAAGGAGCGATTTCAACTCAGGGAGAGGCACTTTGCTTTCTGAATTAACCAGTGAAAAAACCAAGAGCGTTATAAGATAATGATAAAGTAAAAGCTCCACTATTATTAATTTGTTTCCTTGCTTGTAATCATGGATGGTTTTGAAATCCTCAAGTCTGTTACAGTTTTACTTTCATAAGCACAACAAATGAGGACGTTGTTTAGCTGACTGGCTCTTTTTCACAGGAAAGCGTCTGCAGAGATCAGACTGTGCCTTTAGCATAGTTGACCAGCAGCTATAAACGGTATCAAAGTATTATTTTCAGAAGGTTTTATTAAAAGGGAAAATTTTTTTTCCATTTGATTTTTATTCCCAATGGGAACATGAAAAATGTGATGAGCCCATATCCTCCAAAAATTTTACCCTTGGCAAAGGTATGCCCAAAAGATAGCAAGACTCCAATTTTCCCAACTTTCTTACTCGAAGTCTGTCATCCACAAGAAATTTCAATCCAAAGTAGGCACATTAAAAAATACATTCATTTCATAAATATCATTTGCAATAATTGAATTATCCCATTATTATTATTACAG